GTGTGTGTGTGTGCATCTGCATTTATGTGTGTGTGTGAGTGAGAGAGGGAAAGAGGAAGAGAGAAGAGAGGAGAGATGATGGTGGCATAGAAGGTGTAAATAGAGGGTGCTAATTTGTCACTGTAAATTCAGGATTTGAAAGTACAAGGGCTTGATCACACTGAGGAACAGGAACCTGAGTCAAGGAGGCCGGTGGGGCAGCCTGGCACCAGGAAGGCACGTGGTTGCCAGCACCCGCCTTCCCGTTTCAAATCCTGGTTCCTGCATGTTCAGGCTATGTAGCTTTGACACTTCTCTGCCTTGGTTCCATCTTCTGTACCATAGAGAGAGGGATATTGGGGTCCTGAGATGGTCTCTGTGAAGCAGTTAAGGAGACACAGAGCCCCTGGGGGCCCACAGGAGGTGCTGGGTCAGGGGCTACAGGGGTTACTGGTCCTGTTCTCACTTTGGAACTTGCTTCCCTTGGGGATTCCCACTGTGAAGCAAGATCAGGACACTGGTCTCTCCAGAGGCTCAGAGAAGGCCTTGGAGTTCTGGCAGACATGCCTCCCTCCTCCCTCCCGGGACAAGGACTGCCTAAGCTGCTGGGTGGGAGTGTGAGGTCCCCATGGGTGAGGAGCAAGGATGGGCAGCTTCCTGTCTCCATCAGCCCTGGACTGTGGCAGCCAGCTCAGATGCGCCAGTGACCCACATCACAGGGGTTTGTTACTGGACTGTGGCAGCCAGCTTAGACGTGCCAGTGACCCACATCAGAGGGGGCTATTACTGAGAGAGGAGGCATGGCTCCATGGGATATTTCCCTAGACAGCTATCAGAGCATAGGGATGCAGGCACACAGGGTTTCGGGGTCTGGCGAGATCTGTGGGTATCTGCTCTGTGTGTCACCCTACGTCAGAAAAACACACATCTCTGTGCTCTGCTTCCTTTTCATCAACAAGCTCTGCGCCCTGCAGTGCTTTCTATCCTCTCCAAACCTACACACCCCAGGCTTACATAGGGGCTGGGCTCCTGTGTCAGAATCCCCTGATGTGCTTGGAAGAGGGGATCCCGGCCCTTTTCCAGCTCCGTCCCCTCCCACTACCTGATCTGCTGACCAAGGGTGTGGACCTCACCCCAGGGGATTTTCCCGGGGAGCTGGGTCAGGGCAGGCACGTGTGCCTTTTGAGCACAGAAGCATGAATGCTTCCCCCTGAATGGAGCCTCATGCTCCAGAGAGCACATGAAAAGTCATCTATTGCTCAGTGGAAGGTCGGGGGAGGTGGCAGGCAATGACGTTTGTGGGGACAGGTCCTGCCTTCTCGTGGGTGGCAAGGGGCGGCACCCTGCTCCTGGGGCTGCTGATCTTTGTCAGATCTCCAGGGTTGACCTTGGCATACATGGGCTCTAGGAGTGGGGCGGGGCTGGTTGATGCTGTTATAGCCAGGGGTCCCCAGAACAACCACACAACCACACAGCCTCCCCTGCTCCCCATGGGGTTCTTCAGGGGGCGTCTTGGTTTGCTAGGGCTGCTGTAACAGAGTACCACAAACCGAGCGGCTCTAACACAGAAAGACCTCTCACAGTTCCCGAGGCCCGAAGTCCGACATCAAGGTGTTGGTTCCTTCCGAGGGCTGTGAAGAAGAAGAGCTCACTCCACGCATTCCCTGAGCTCCTGGTGGTTTGCTGACCATCTTTGGGTTCCTTGGCTAGCAGATGTCTCACCCTGATCTCTGCCTTCGTGTTCACATGGCGCTCACCCTGTGTGTGCGTCTCTGTCCAAGTTTCTGCCTTTACGGGAACACCAATAGTACGGAATTAGGGGCCCGCCTTACTCCATCATGACCTGATTTCTATCTGAAACAATCTTATTTCTAAATAAGATCACACTCCGACACTAGGGGTTAGGACTTCAACATGTGAATTTTGGGGGGAGACGCAATTCAACCCGTAAGAGGGGCCGTGACAAAAGGAAGCCAAGTCCTGCTCTGTCAACACCTGAGCCCAATAACCCCTCACTGCAGGGCTCTCGGCCAGAACTAATCAGGAGACAGGGCCTTACACTAGAGACTTCTGCTCGGCGAGCTGCCTCCCTCCCACGTCCCGTCCTGAGACCATCCACTCACTTTGACTGCGGAGGGGAAGGAGGGAGAGGGAAAGGCGTTGAACAATCTGACCACATGGAGGAGGAGAGGCTCCCTTTAGCACACTGTGACCCTGCCCACTAGTGACATGTGACTGGTCAGAATCATAACGCCCCTTTCCTGGGGGGAAGGGCACCACGAAGGGGTGAGCAGAGCTAGATCTGGCAGGAAAACATGGGCTGAATAGTCCCTCTCTAAAAAGTCATCTGGAAGGGATCTGGTGCTTATCCAGAAGCCTGCTCAGATCTGGAATTAGAAAGAAGTCGTTGTGGCAATATGGAAACCCTTGGCTCTTCTCATCAACAAAAGGAGCTGGGGGCTGTCGGAGCTAGTGTGGATCATAGCCAGCAGCCAGCCATGGCAGGCACAGGGAGCCACCTGCATGGGGCCATGAGAAAGCAGCTCAGCCAGCCACAGCCGAGCCGGGAGGGGGCATTCCAGCTACCCCCCGCCAGTGGCCACTGGCAGCAGCGTCCAGGCCTGTATTCAGCCAAAGCATCTCTTTGCTTGGAGGCCCTGACAAAGGCCAGACATTGACTTTTCAAAGCAGAAACTGTCATTGTGCACAGTGAGGAGGGGAAAGGGACAAAAGTTCCAGACAGCATATAGTGACCTCATGGAAAAGGGGTTCTTGGAGCCAGAAGGGACCCCAGAGCTTCCTTTATCATGTCTGCAATGCTGAGATTCACATCTTGGCATGGCCACTAGCCAGGACTTGGACTGCAGTTAGATGGAGCTGGGCTTCCCATGCAGGAGACCCTGACTTGCTGCTCACCTCTCTGAGCCTCGATTTCCTCACCTGTAAAATGGGAATAATGATTCTCATTCTGCTGGATAATTGAACAGTTAGAGATTGTCCACACAAGTGCTTGGCCCAGAGGAGACATTCAACTGGGAATTATGATATCTGAGCCAGGTGGAGAGCTGAGACTTGCCATGAAATCTCTGAGAAGCAAATGCAATAGATTTTACCTCTTTATTATCTAAATGGTGAAATTTTAGATTGTCCTGAATAATTTTATTCTGTGAAATCTACACAGCCTGCAAATAACAGTTTCGATCTTGCTGGACTGTTTGATGAGATCTGGTTCTGTTAGTAAATCCTTTTGGGACAGCCAAAATGCTAAGCCTGAATTTAGCAAATGTATAAAAAACTATAGACATTTTGGAAAAGCAATTTGGCACCGCATAGCAACAATGTGTTGGCATTAGGCTATTTCATTATTATTATTAGGTGTGAATTCTAAATTCAGGGGTTGTTTTTTTTGTCCCTTTGAATTCATCACTTCTCAAAATAGATTTCTTAAAAGTACAGATTTCCTAAATGTTCACAGCTCCATTTCCCCATTCAGGCTCCCAAGCATATGAGAGGAGACATAGCCACAGTCCCCCACAGGGTCAGAGGGCAAAGGTAGACAGTGGTGCTGAAAAGAGAATGCCAACTAGAGGGACCTCAGAGTGGACTCCTTGAGGGCCTGTTCCAGAAAGGGGCATTTCTGTGGAGGATCGTGGTCCACAGGCTGCCTCCTCCTCCTCTTTGCCAGCTCTACAGCCCAAAGAAGGCTTAAGCATAAACAACTGAAGATAGCAGCACTGAGTTCCAGCTCAAGCTCAGTTCTTTCTGTACCTGGGTCCTCACCTGGGCAGATCCCCAAGCTGAGAGCCACCACCACCTTCTATGTGCAGGCACTCTAGGTACAATACCGGTACTAGACCCCCAGTCTGAGGGGAGTATAGGTGCTGCAGCTTCCATGGCCACCGACTTGCTGTGTGATGTCTGGCAATCCCTTTCCATCTCTGGGCCTCAATTTTTTTCATATGACGACGGGTGGAGAGAGTGATATGTGATCTCCAGACTCTCTCCCAGCTCTGTGGGTCTTTTCTATTTCATGTTAATGCTGGATAATGTCCAAATATGGCCAAGGGTGCTGGACATACTTGAGAGAGTAAATGGCCTGATTTGGGTGGAGGGTAGAATTCTGTTGAAGGCTTTCCCTGAGCTCATAACACGGTATTAGCACCCTCGCATGGAGCTGTCTGATGGTACCAAGAGGACTCCAAGATACATGGGCTGTGTCTTTCCCTGCCCCTCCCTCAAAGAATGAGGGTCCCTTTAGGATCCCCTGACCACGGCTATCATCGAAGACCACCAGGATCCCAACCCAGGGAACAGGACTTGGTAGCCAGCATTGTTTCCTGTGCATGACATACTTTGAGCTTTGCAAAATGTTTTCACAATTGTTCTCAGCGCTTCCTCCCATGCAACCTCCTTAGGAAGACAAAGCCAGGATTGGAAGCCAACAATGGGACCAGACTCTTCTAGTGAAAAGATCATTGAGACCATATTGTCCCACCTTTTTGTTTTTCACATGAGACATACAGGTCCAAGGAGTGAACAGAGGTGCACAGGGCCACATGACAAGTCAGCAGCAGAGCTGGCGCCAAAGCCAGGACAGCCAGCTATTAGCTAATAGCTGGGTTCTCGGTGCAGCTTGGATTTCAGAGTCAGACAGACCTGGGTTCAAATCCTGCCTTTACAAATACTGGCCATGTGACCTTGGGCAAAATATTTAACCTTCTGGGACATCTGTTTCCTTGCATGTAAAACAGAGATGGTCATATCTTCCAGGGCTCAGCAAAATCACCTATGGAAAGTGCTTAGCACAGTGTGTAGAATAAAATACAGCCTGGAAAATGTTCACTATCATCATCGTTATTGGTGTAAACTGTTATCATTGTTATTTGAGGAGGCAGTCTCAGATAAATTGAGGGCTGGGCTGGGAAATTGTGGTCCACAGGGCACAGACAGGCCCTGGTCCATGGCCACTCCAGGCGGTGCCTAGCTGTGTCCTCATTAACAGCTTCCCTGTCTCTCTGCAGGCTAGTGGAGCTCTTCTCCACCGTGCCCATCGGCTCCCACTGGGGGGTGCTGTCCAAGTGCTTGGCCTACAGCAAGGCCGCGTCCGACCCCTTTGTGTACTCCTTACTGCGACACCAGTACCGCAAAAGCTGCAAGGAGATTCTGAACAGGCTCCTGCACAGACGCTCCATCCACTCCTCCGGCCTCACGGGCGACTCTCACAGCCAGAACATTCTGCCGGTGTCTGAGTGAAGGACCACGCTCCTGCTGAAGGGTTTAGAATGAGGCAGCGGTGAGAAGAAGGGAGGGAGGGCGTGGGGGCCCCTGGGTGGACACCACCAGCTGCCAGTCCCTGGCACACCCAGTGATCCTGGTTCCCTGGCTTGTAGGGGCTCCAGAGCCTGCTTCCTGGTTCCTCAAGGGCAGACATTGGACACTCACTATTTGTCACCAAAGGATGACTGTGGGCCGTGTGCTGGCCTTTCTTTCTAAGAAGCTCCTCTGAGCTCCTGAACTCACCTGAGGCTCCCTGGGGGATGACACTCAGTTCTGTCACTGTCAAGGATGCAGAGAGCTGATGGTAGGTGGGGAGCATGGTGTCCACCTGCCTGCTGACCACTGGGCGCTATTCCATGCTGAAGAAAAGTGACAGTCTCCAGGGGACATTTCAGCCATGTCCCTTCTGAAAGGGAGGCTGGCAGTGGTCATTTGGCCCGGATCTAACGTGGCACCTCGTCTCCACAGGGTAGTGACGGCTGCTTCAATCCAAATATGATTCAGCTGGTACTGACGACATTGTGCCCAGCTGGGACTCTTGGGCTCTGTGCCTGAGGGAAAACGTTTCACAACTAGTGGCTGTCCAATTGCTGCTGTCCAGTTGTCTTAGAAATGGTCAATTGGATTCAACTTTTGTCCTCTCCTTCCCCCTAAAAGCGAATGTTTGTGTGTGCAGACAATCTTAGCATGAAAATGGTTTAAATAGGCTGGTCCTACATGTATTAGGTTCTTTCAAGTTTGACTGGGAGGTCACCTTTTTCTGATTTACAAGTCCTAACTGTTGGAGCTCAGTAAAGGCAGGAGGAAGGTGACTGGTTAGTCCCCCCCTCCCCGTTTGTGACCTGAATTTACAGGAAGTGTTTCACCTTGTCTTATGTATCTTGTCTGGCATGTCCTGGGAGATGGATGGGCAAGAACTGGCCTGAGCAGGGATTTTTGCCTTGATTTTAAGTCAGTGGGTTCCATTGTCCTGGCACCTCCATTTCCTTAGTTTCTGTCAACCTATTAACAGAAAGTACAGGCTGTTCAGGGTTATGAAGAAATTGCCCTGTGCTAATGATGAGACAGTGAATTTCTTTTTTTTCCGAGATGAGAGTTTCACTCTCGTTGCCCAGGCTGGAGTGCAATGGTGCAATCTCGGCTCACCGCAACCTCTGCCTTCCGGGTTCAAGCGATTAAAGACAGTGAAATTTTTATGGAATACTGCACCTATAATACATATGCCAATCTGTTAGCAGTCCTGACTTGATTTAATAAAAACCAAGGAGAGCCACCCCTGCTTTCTGGCCATCTCTTCTTTGTCT